TGAGTTTTCGATGCCAATGTGTATGGCATGCCGTTTTACTTTTTAATAGCATAAATAAAATTATACTCAATATAAAAGTTTCAAAAAATAATTGTCTTCAGAAAAATTGCGATTTTTAATAATGAATTAAAATTATGTCTACATAATAAAAATTGACGAATTAAAATTATGTCTAGACATAATAAAAATTGGCTGAATTAAAATTATGTGTACACATAATTTTAATTCATTTTTATTATATGTCTAGACATAATAAAAATTGGATGAATTAAAATTATATGTTAAAATTTAATAATAATTGTCGAACAAAATAAAAATTGTATGAATTAAAATTATGTCTAGACATAATAAAAATTGGACGAATTAAAATTATGTCTAGACATAATAAAAATTAGATAAATTAAAATTATGTCTTGACATAAAAATAATACCGAATTTTTATTATGTGTAGACATAATTTTAATTCGTCCAATTTTTATTATGTCTAGACATAATTTTAATTCATTAATAAAAATCGCAATTTTTCTTAGACAATTATTTTTCGAAACTTTTATATCGAGTACAATATTATTTATGCTATTGAAAAGTAAAACGGTGTGCCATCCAATTTTCATCAAATTTTACTTGGACGAATTAAAATTATGTCTAGACATAATTTTAATTAATTATTTTTATGCCTAGACATAATAATAATGTTTCTAAACCATTTTTCTCTTTATTGTAAATTGGAGAATTAGTTTTTATTTGTATACTAAAAATGTTTGCTATTAAAAAGTAAAACGGCATGCCATAAATGTGTTGCTTATGTTCGAAAACGTCAAAAAATCGTAATTTTAGATAATGTTTGTATGTATTGTCCGTTAATGCTCTAACTTCCGTAATTTTTTAGATATCGGGATGCATTTTTTTTAATCGATAGAGTATTATGTAAGGAAGGTTGGGATTGAATTTGGCGATGATCGGTAAAGCGGTTCTTTTTTATTTTAATAAAATTTAGAATTTTGGTAAAAATGTTTGTGGTTGTTCTAACTTCCGCAAATTTGGAGATATTAATCTATTTCTAATTTTATTATATTCTTCAGTCTTTTCTACCCCTATTTCATATATAATTCTTTAAGATTTGGTAGACTCAGCTTTATACGCGATCAAAGATCCGTAATTTTTAGAAAAATGTCTGTAATAGCCCTAACTTCCGCAAATTTTAAGATATCGGTCTATTTTTAATTTTATTATATTCTTCAGTCTTTTCTATTTCTATTTCATATATAATTCTTTAAGATTTGATTGGTCTCTGATATTTTTTTCTTTTCTCTGAAACTAGCAAATTATTTAGCAAAGTCTAATCTGAATGCAATCTTTTAAATCAATAAATTAGTATAAATGAAAAAGTATAATTAAAGAAAGTTAAGGAAGGATAGAGGCAGACAGACTTTCAGGAAAAAAGCAAGAAGAAAATGCAGCCTGTAAATTTTATGAAAAAATTTGAAAAAAAATTTGTGCAAATTAGAAATTTGCACTTGGCTTCCTCATCAATTTGAGATGTGCGATTTAGAAATTTGCACATAGCAAAGTCACAATTTTGAAGTGAGAGAGTAGGAAATTAGCAATTTGAATCCACAACGTATTGCTACGCGCGAAAAACTTCCTCTATGAGGAAGTCAAACTAAAAATTATGCATCTAATAAAATACAAAAGATTCCTCATAGAGGAGCTTTGAGCGCGTAGCAATACGTTGTGGATTCAATTTGCTAATTTCCTACTCTCTCACTTCAAAATTGTGACTTTGCTATGTGCAAATTTCTAAATCGTTTATATATAATATCAAAATTCAAAGAGAAATTCTTTTTATTATTAAAAGTTGTTATTCAAAGTTTTTAACCAGTAAAAATTGAAGAGAGAGTATATTTTGTACACAACATATTGAAGATATTCTTCGCACTCGATGAACTTGTGACATCCCATTTCTCATATTTTTTTTCTCTGTTCTGTGCTTTTTTCTTAGGAAATAAGCGTGTCCCAGCTCATCGAATAGTACTCAGTGCTGGCTCTGAATATTTTGCTGCCATGTTCACAAGCTCTCTACGAGAGTCGGCACAAAATGAAATAGAATTAATGGATGTTGATGGAGATGCTTTATGGGCTTTGGTTCTTTATTGTTATACAGGTAATTCTGCTTAAGAAGATATGTTTCATGTAAGAAAACATTTCACGAATATTAACATTACGATAAAGGCATTTACAGATATTTTTTGTAAGCCGTTCTTGTTAATTTTAGGATATCTTGTCAATTCTTAATAACATGTTTTTTTGTATACTTGCAGGTTGCATAGAATTGCAGGAAGATAGCGTAGAGACTCTACTTGCAACAGCATGTTTGTTACAATTGAATCCAGTTATTAAAGCGTGCTGTCAGTTTCTCGTCAAACAACTTCACCCAAGCAACTGTCTGGGCATACGGATGTTCGCCGATACGCAGGGTTGTTCGGAATTGCTTGAATACGCACACGCATACACTACCAAACATTTCATGGAAGTTACAAAAAATCAAGAATTCTTACTGCTATCTGCCAATGAAGTTGCGAAGTTACTTGAATCTGAGGATCTTAATGTTCCCTCGGAAGAAACTATCTTTCATGTAAGACAACTGTTTGTTGAGCGAATCAATTTATATGAAATATTAAGAAGGAGATGTTATCATAGCTATAAGTGTTTTATACTATTGATCATAAATATACAAATATGTATTTCTATAATTGTTTGAGCAAATATTTCATACAAATGCAATTAAAATATCTAAGCTGAGATACAGAATAAATAGAATCGTTATTGTTTTATTATTATTTCAGGCTCTAGTGACTTGGCTGGAACACGATCCAGAAAACAGGAGCAAAGATGCCAGTAAATTATTAGGTTTAGTCAAATTACCATTGCTATCACCCGCGGTAAGTTCATCGACAGCTCAATTTTTTCACTCGACAGAACTTGTACATTAGCACTAATAAATTAAAACAGTTTATAGCTGACAATATTGAGAGTAACGAAATGTTCAAAGACCAAAGAATGGTGCAGGAATTTGTAATGGAAGCATTTAAGTATCATTTGCTGCCTGAGCGAAAATCTTTGCTTCAAACAGGCAGAACGAAACCCAGAAAAGCCACTGTGGGTACGTTGTTAGCTGTCGGAGGGATGGGCACCAATAAAGGTAATTTATTATATCCAAAATGAATTATTTAATATTAATCGCATAACTGATAATTAATCGATCACGATTAATGTAAAGAAAATATATTATACCAATATTGTCGCACTATTTTAATTTTTCCAAGCGAAATAATTTACAACGTACTTTCTAGGTGCACAATTTGTAGAGGCATTTTCATTACGCGATAATGCCTGGAGATCTCTAGATAAACCCTGGTCACTCATAACCTGTAGACTATACTGTGGCGTAGTAGTAGTCGATAAAAAATTGATTGTCGCGGGCGGTATAGACGTCAAAGGCCTCCACGGGACGATTAGTATGGACGATTTGAAAGCATCGAACACAGTAGAATGCCTCGATTTCTCCACTCTTACGTGGAGCACTCTACCCTCTATGAATGTTCGTCGATGCGGATTAGGTATGTGAAATGCATGAGAATTTGGAAAATTAATGTGCAATTTATTTCATTTATTCATAATCAAACCTTGGCAAATACGTTATAATATTCTTTTTTAGGAGTGGCAGTCTTAGGTGGACTTTTATATGCTGTTGGTGGTTTTGACGTCGACAGTCGTTGTTTTTTTAATGCGGTAGAGAGATGGGATCCGGGAACAGGTCATTGGAGTTCAATATGTCCTATGTCCATACAAAGAACTGAAGTCGGTGTAGCTGTGTTAAATGATAAGCAAGTCTTTACAGATAAATTATTAAATTTATATGTCATATCTGTTTTCAATCATTTTAATTTCCTTTTTAGTACGTGTCTTCGTATAAATATTATTTTATTAACTTTAAATTTTATTAAATATTGAATTTTTTAAAATAAATTTAATATTAAATTTTTTATGATGTTTTAGATTGTATGCCGTAGGAGGAAGAGATATCAGTTCCTGCTTAAATACAGTAGAATGTTACGATCCGCACACGAACAAATGGACACCGTGCGCACCTATGTCGAAGAGACGAGGCGACGTAGGCGTAGGAGTAGTGAATGGTTGTCTTTATGCACTCGGTGGTTACGACGCTCCAGCTAACAATGCTAGCATATGTGTAGAAAGGTATAAAGCCGCTGTTACATTATATGTTAAAGCTTTCAAATTATATATAATGCGATGTAACAATATATAGATATGATCCTAAAACCGATACGTGGACTGTGGTTGCGCCAATGAGTGTGCCCCGGAGTAAAGTTGGTGTGTGCGTATTAGGTGACCGACTTATGGCCGTGGGAGGATTCGACGGCCGACAATATCTCACACTAGTGGAAGCCTACGATCCACATCTCAACGAATGGGAACCTGTGAGTGTATAAACTATTCCTGTAATTGAATATGGTAAATAGAAATAATTGTAAATATATTTTGTAAACTGAAACGTGTTTATATTTGTAGGTTGCTCCTCTTAAGGCTGGCCGTGCGGGACCTTGTGTTGTTGTAAAAAGTTTAACCAATAACATGTAGGTTATTTTCACTAAACGATCAGTAATTGGATTTGCTAATTATGCAAATTTATCATTAAGATTAATCCTTAAATACATAATTTTTTGTAGAACTCTATTTTTTTAGTAAATAATTGTTGATTAAAGCATTAAAGAATTCTAAAAGAGATATAAGAATTTCTTTACTGAGTTGAACCTTCTCAAGGAAAGGGAAAAAGGGCCAAAAAAGATCTTTTACAGATATACAAAGCCACGTGTTTGAACTTAATAAGGAAAAGTACACAAAACAGCAAAAAATTGCTTCAAATATATGCAAAACTGTGCTTTGAAAGGTGCCATTTCACGTTGACGCTCGACGCTTATTTTCAGCGAACAAAAATCAGCAAAAATAATATATTTTGGTAAATCTGAAGGTTTTATAATGTAACTTTTTATTCGATTATGTATCAATACAGATAAATGTGAACAGTTCAAGATTTGACTTCAGTTGACATTCGTACAAGAGAAATGTCGCGACCACGGTCGTCACGACCGTGGTCGCGACATTGCATCTCTTCGCTGTAGGCAGCTATCATGCCATCTAGGTCTACCTTAATAGCCTGCCGTTTTGTTCATTCATTTTGAACGTCAAAATTCTGGTTTATTTTATAGGTTGGCGATATTTTACAGATTGTTTTACATTTGGTTTCATAACCCGGAGTCTGCATTTTCGCTCATCCATACATATCGTTTTTCATCTTTCAAAAATCTTCGAAACCGACCGCAGAGATCGGTCACATCGAACATGTCAAAAATCATGCTGGATATTTCAAAATATTTCAAAAGGCAACTGTTTGATGATATCGAATCTCTTTTGTATGTATAAGCAGCATCGACTGCGGAGTTATCATTATCCTTTAGACTTTCGAATCTACAGGTCACAAATCGGGAGCAATGGAAGCCTTTAGGAGAATTGTTTCCTATTTTGATGTATTCATACAAAAGAGATTGGACATCATCAAACAGCTGCCTGTTGAAATATCCAACATGATTTTTGGCATGTTGGACAATCGGTCTCTCCGGTCGGCTTCAACGGTGTCTGAAGCATGGGAGACGATAGCTATGGACGAACGGAGACGCAGGCTCCGTCTTGCGAAATTAAATGTAATGCCTGTAAAATGTAAACCTGATGTAAAATGTAATAAAATTTTAACTTTTAAATTCAATGAACGAAACGGCAGAACTATTAAGATAGATCCGACTCGGTCTCGCCGATGTATCCAATTTAATAGAGATAAGAGAATAAGTAATCTGCGCTTTTGAATAAAAAAAAAAAAATAAAAAATAAAAAATAAAAAAAATAAATAAAAAAAAAATAAAATAAATAAAAAATAAATAAAAAATAAATGTAAGTAGCATATGGTAGCTTTTGAATAAAAATAAATGTAAATAGCATATAGCAGTAATAGTAATAAAAGAAAGTTGGTACGCGCATCGTACTTGTTATTTTTCTTTTATTCATAGCTTTACGTCCTTAAATATGCTTTTGTGTGTCTCATTTTTTCATAACCGTAAGAATCAAGCGAAGATTTATGTCGATTTTAGTTTTTTGTCATAACAGATTAATTATTATTGCTCTTTTTTCTTTACACTCTCTGCAATATACAGAGTGTTGCAGGTTTTTCTGTACTAGCAGTATGTTTTGTGAGCAGAAATAAAAAAAATGTTATATAAATATCGGTCCCAAAATGCTTTATTAGTTTATAACAAAAATACGAAATGTATAAAAAACAATTTCACTTAAGTTTGCATTTCAAAGTGCCTATTTCAATACAAGCTATACATCCATCTATGTAATATTGAATTTAATATTGAATCCTAGGAATTTGAATCCATCAAGTGTAATTGCAAATAAACATTGATAAAGATTGTTGATTCAACTGCACTCTTCTGTTAGAGAATCATTGATAAACGGAAGCCCTCGGATTCCCTGCACATAAACCATACACAAAATAAATATCCGTGTATTCTTTGTTTGTAAAAACTCGCGGCATTTTGGGATAATGTTCTACAAGGTACTGCTCTCGTTACTAATATTCATACAAGTTTTTATAATCACCTTTAATCATTTTAATCATTTCAAATAGTAAGGATGCAGACTAGAAGAAACAGATAAGATAAACATAATCGAACGGCGTGTCACACTTATGGCAAAACCGTTATTATTTTTTCAATATTCAAACTTAATTTTTCTATAACTTTCCAATAAAGCATTTTGAGACTTATTTTTATATAACATTTTTTTTCTTATCTCTCTCTGCTCATAGAACATACTTACTATTAAAGTTTGTATAGAAAAATCTGATGGGACACCCTATACGTATGTTACGTTCTGCTTGTTAATCTCTCTAATTTTATTGCTTTCTTTTCGAGAAAATCTGCGATGATCGTCAGAGATACAATATATATTAGTAGGGTGAATCGGACTCTAACTATAGCTAAAGTAGAAAACTTTTGACAGATCACTATGGGAAAAAATCTACGTATCTTGTGGAGTGGTTGCTTCAGTTTTGTCTGAGGTTATCGTGCTCTCAATTTTATCCAAATACATTAGCTGGAACAAAATTATATGTAACATTAATGCGCAAAATATTTTTTTATAAATTTTGTTATAATTATTATAATTATTACCTCTTGGCAATTATGAGGAAGAATAAGAATAAACGTACGTAAGATGTTTCACCACTATCGTATTTTCCTTAGAGTGTAGACATTATAATAAACCTGATATTGATTTTTTTTGCAGTGTCAAAATTTTAATAATTTTTCAAGAATTAAGATTTATCAATGTAAATTAATAGTAAAGTAACATAGAATCTATTTCTTATTTTTTAATTATATTTAATTCGATTTTAATCTAATTAAGCTTTCTTACAAGTTTTACGAGGGGAAAGCTTTATAAGTCGCCCTGGTTCCCGGGGAGAGATCAGGGGGTATGTTGGATTCCTACTAACCCCCCTACTAACTTTCCAGCTAACCCCCCCCCCCCCCCGGTAAGTAAATCGAATTGAGGAAGTAGGTGGACATCGAGCCAAAAATAAAAGTTTTAATTGAACAATTTTACCCATCTCGAATGTGTCGTAGAGTACTTCCAATGCGTGAAAGGAAATATAGATTTATGAGTAATATAGATGCTGTAAGTGTGCCAATTCCAAAATTTCTGTGATAAATGAGATTTGTGAAGTAGAAGTCGTCCACTTGTGTTCGCTGTATTCCGAACAGAAATGATAAAAACATACAAAAGAGAACCATAGAATTAGGGATCACACCATAGATAAGGATAAATAAATCTTTTATTCGGAAACGAGTGGACGACTTCTACTTCACAAGAATCTTATTTATCACAGAAATTTGGGAATTGGCATACTTACAGCATCTATATTACTCAGTAATCTATATTTCCTGCATTGGGAGTACTCTAAAACACATTCAAAGGTAAAATTGTTAAATTAAAACTTATATTTTTGACTCGATGACCACCTATTTCCTCAATTCGATCCATTATGCCCCGGGTGGCCTACCTCGGGCGTAAGGGGGACGTACCGGGAACTGGCGTTTGCATTACTTCTGGTGTGCCTCCAGGCTTTCTTACAAGCTAATGCTTTATGACAAATATTAAAAAAGTTTTGACAAAAGACGGTTTGTTATTAGAGTTATAATAAAAAAAAAGTTATTTTAAAAAATTTGTAACAATTGACGCAGGAAAGGATATACGACAGTGACAAAGAACATCTCGTACAGTAAAGTTTATGAATTATGGGGAAAAATTTAATACACATAGAGTCGATATTTTAATTAAACGTAAGTTTTCTTAAATAAAATGATCGATTTATGAATAGCAGTAAAAAATCAAGGTACCGTAACAACGGGGTCTTCAAAGTTAATTAATCGGAAGTCTGGAACGAAAGTAAGGAGAAACGCGCAATAGACGATCGCAAGAATCCATTCGCATATAGTGCTCGCGACGTGCCAGCCCCAACCACCATCCGCCGGTAGCCATTTTTTGTAATCGTTACCTGCGTAACATATAAATTTTTATTTTGATTACTTGAAACTCTGAAAAATATCTAAACTATCTTAGTTTAACTCTTCACATTTTATTTAACGATAAAGTTAAAAGTTCTTATATAAATGCATTTTTGCGCTCGTGCATAACGTTCGAATATTTAACATGTACTTATTTTCTATGTGAATAATTGATTGAGGAACTGTGTTTTAAAAGAATATGTTATGCAGATTATAACTACATAAGTTATATACTATAAAATTCACAATTTTTTAATAACACATTTACATACCTTGAAATTCAGACATTGAGATATAGCCAGGAACGATCGTAGCGATTGTCAGTATCATCGTGAGACCCGAGAGAATTGCGCGCAGATAAACAACAATTATTCCGTTCATGGCTGGTACCATCTTGTAGCTTAGATATGTCTAAAAAAATTATGATTATTTTATAATGATATATAAAATTATTTTCTTTATATTAAAGTCATGAGTTAGAGCTTATCTGCTCTTTCAAAGTATTATATTATCAAGTCTGCAAAAAGCAGAAATGATAATATATGTGTAATAAGCTAGAGTATATATAGGACCCATCTAAATAAGTCACAAATAAAAAGAATATGGAAAGACTCAACCAAAAAATAAAATAATGAGATAAAAATTAAAAAATTATATAGGAAAAAAGATCTTTGAGTTTCGAGTGTTAAGAGCCTTTAACTGAAAGACAGTCACTTTGACATTGTTTTAAGATTAAATGTTCAATCGGCTTTGCGCCAGAGAATGACTGCAATATCGTCAGTAAATTAACGTTGTCACTAGCATCGAAACGTTCGCGATAAAACACAACGATTCACATTACGGTGTACCTGAAGACAGAAATAGAGAGTGCCGGCAGAGAAGCAAGTCATCGCTCCCACCATGTGAGCGGCGATTACGCGGGCTTCTTGAAAATTGGCGAGTATATCGAGACCGAAGCAAGCGAGGATACCGCAGCATGTTGTCGCCATGACAAGTCTTTTGTCTACGAGATCGCGGCCTCTCTCTGTCTGCCATTGCAGTACTTGTCGATGCCTGATGTAAACGCAGCATCCGACTGTGTGAAAGGTGTAGATTGATTTTTTTATTGGTTTCAAACAAAAATTCTCTGAAGTCACTTTTATTTCTCCTTTTCTGTCCATTTACTATGCTATGTTATATTATTTATCTTATTTATTGATTTTATCACTAAACGTATTTAAGTTATTCTTATAGGTTTTAAGCTTTGTATTATTTAAATACTTTTTTTATTTTTTTTATACATATATCGATATGTAAGTAATTTATTTATTTATTTTTTTCTCCGACATTTACATTTACATAACTGTTTTAAGTTGATTTTGATTCTTTCACTAAAGTATGAGATAAAATTTAATTTAATCTGTAAAATTTTTTGAATTACGTTTACGTACGTAAAAGAGCCGCGATGTTCAGGCATTGCGCGAATATGCAGGATTCTGGTGACAATGTGCCGGTCTCCGATATATAAGGGAATCCAGGCACCACATGGTCCCATTGCACCGATATGGTGTATCTGAAACATGAGCCGTTCGTAAACTATAAACTCGGGTGGTGCGAGCGAGTATATAAAACGCTTGTATCACGTTTCCTTGACTTTCTCGGCTGCTCGCAAAGCACTTTTATGATCGTTAAATAATTCTGCAATGTGCATTTGCTATTTGAACAGATAGGTTGAGTTTCTAAATTCATTGCCAGCGCTGAAAATGTACAGTATACGTCACGTGTACTAAAGATTTTCAGCGCTGGCAATAAATTTAGAAACTCAGCCATATTAAAAAAAAAAACAGTGCAAACTGTAAAATAATTTTTTTCTTATTTTGACTCAATCGACTTATGTGTACACATATTTATAATTTATTTATTTTAAGAAGACATAGATATTAAAGTATAAGTTCAATTTAATCTTTGAAACCTTTTGAATAATGTGTTATATAAGTAAAAGTATGATGTTTAGGCGCTAGATATATAAATATAAAGATTTTTGTCTTCAATTATATATATATACCTTATTAATGCTAATCGTTTACGTCTTATATTTATTTTTGAATAAGCAAATTCTACTCATTCCGTTGTCAAGATTTGGAGAATAAATTGAAGTATTTTTGTTGGCTTTTTTGCCAGCGAAATTGCTCATTGTCGATAATGGCTAATGTAGTTTTAGTTTGGTACAATTATGAATTCTGTATAGGTAGGTATAGTTTATATAGGCATTTAACAATCCATTTTGAGAAGAAATAATTGATTGATCGTATTAAGAGGACATTAAACATTAAGACTTGTTAAGAAAGTAAAAGACTATAATATTCTACATTTTTTTGTACATAAAAAAATATGTTTGTTGTGCTTTTCGTAATTCGATACTTCATCGTTAAAAAATTGCGGACTTACGTAATGACGAATGTCACCGGGATTAAAATGAACAGACTTAATGGTAGTACATGCAATTTTCCATATGCCATCCTCGTTTGGTCGTCCTCAGCGCTGCAAGATACGATTGCATGATTCAATTATAGTATGGTATGATTCGATGCGTTCTATACCCGCTGCGTTAGATACATTCCTCATCGGATTGATTAAAACCAATGACGATACGATAACTCAGTGTGATCGATGGATTAAATGGTGAGAAGCATGATGAAGAGACGCGAGTGACTGAACTGATTGAAAGAGGGATTGAAGTGACACAGGGCTGAGTTCATAAAGGATCCAATCAAGATGACCTAGAGGACCTCAGGCAGGACCCTTCGCGTGATTTATAACGTTCGTTCCACGACGTTGAGGATAAAAAATTATATCCCCCAATTATATCGAAGTGCTAATGAATCATACACGAAGATATATCCGTCTAATCCGGGAAGAATAAGTATAAACAGATTTTATAAATAAATCTTAAATTTTTATAACCAATTCTATAGAATTATTATAAGAGGTATCGAAAGTTTGTTATATTGAATCGTCCATATCGGTGAAACATTCAAACAATTGTTCGATTAAGCTTTTAGCACAAAACTCGCTATGCCAAATTTCATCGAAACAAGAAATCAAATTTATTTTAAGAGCACTAAGAAGGAAATTCATATAGAGAAGTGGAAAAAAGTACGATCACGTGAAAACATAAATAAACACTAATGTAAAAAAGAATACCAGGACTTACCTTGAAGATTTCGCGTAAATTTTTTTCTAAAAATATACCGTCACGATTCATGTCACGAGGGCATTTGATCGTGAGGCGTCTTGTAGCGACTGTCCGTTCCTGTGCTACGTCTTATCGTTCGCACCGTACCAATCTCCACGCATACTATTGCGTGCTAATTAACATGAGACGCCAGATAATATATGATATATATGAGCTCGCGCAACACTTAATTTATTTTTCAATATATTTTTACAAGTATTCTTTGACAAATAGAAAACAACGAATAATGTTTAGTGTTAAAATTAGAACGAGATGATAATTCGGACGAAATTAGTTTAATTACAAACTTATTTCAAAGATCCCTTAAATTAGTTATTCTTTGATTAAGCGTGAAGTGTCTATTTTTATTTTTATTTTAATTTATAAAAGGAGAATTGAATTATTGATCGGTCGGTGATTCAGAGATATAATTCTTTGATCGTAATTCAATTACTAAATTAAACGTAACGAACCGCGTGCGACGTAATACACGCCTCGTTTAAAACTAGTAGGCGGACTAGGAATTCGTAATTAACGCAACGCTCGATATCACGTTCATTAGATTGGTAATAGGATCGTTTGGTCGTGCTGTTTCTAATTTGACCCAATTTCAGACTTGCGTCCATTACCGTGTACTACGGCGGTTGCATGCCGATAAAACATCTATTTAAAATTAGGAGACTTTTCGTAAAGGAACGTAGAAAATCTGTAATTAGGATGTGAAAGAATAAAATATGACACTTATACAAGAGTTACATATTTGAATCACATTTTTATATCAATAACATTACGACAATACAATATGTTCCGCAATTTTTCAATGTTAATCTTTGTCACTAGGATACACGTAACGATTCGCTCTTCACTATGGACAAGTTTGATAATAATTAATTTCGCTGGGCGATTACTCTGTATTTATACAGATATGGCTTTTTTATGTTGTAAACCGAATTCTCAAAAAACTTAGCAATATTCTTGACTTAGCAATTTACATATCGAAACTATAGAAGGAAAAATATAATAATATTATTCTTACTTTTAATCTCTTAATTAACTTTATTCATTACACTGTTTCTTGAATATTTTTAAAATGGGTTTATTATGGCAGCGGTTTCATTGGCAGTAGTTTGAGAGGAAAAGACATTTATATAATCCAAATTGGATATAAAATTTCTTATTCGGCGAATATTTTACGGCTTTTAAACGGCGTCAATTTTTTATGTTATTAATTTTTATGTTAATTAAATGAATAATTCTAAGAAAATGCACATTTCATAAACAAGCGTGTCTTAAATATTTATTATTACTTAAACGAGTTCGCTTTTCTCAATTAAATAATTAATAACCGTAAATATTTATGAAATTTATACTTTTTGATGTGTGTCTCATCTTTATTGTTTAATTAATATAATATAAATTAATCTTTCCGTTCATATATTCGGTAAAGTTATAGTATTATTATCTCAACAAAAGATATAATTTATTCTTTTCGCATATTAATCAGTGAAAGACGCGATTTTTATATCATAATGATCTATATGCCAATGATTGTATACATTTAAACTTGTGTAAGTGTATATACATGGCATCAATATCGAGTATTTACATATACATTAATATAAATAGTTTGATAAATAAATAGATGCGCATTATTATATCTGGAGTCGATCGTCGCATCTCGTTGTGGGGGACCGAGTCCCAAAAAAGAGAGAACGTCGTGAACAATATATACGTATATATCTTGTATTTATACTTTTACGACGCATTTGTCTTAAACGCGATTGGACTAGTTTCCAAATCTTAAACTAGCGTGTCTACGTACAAGCGTTCATACATTTGCACAGTCAGTTCTTAGTTATTCTTACAATCGTAGCCAAAGTTACATATTTTGATCGTTTATAAAAATGGACATGCAGTTAAGCTCTATAATAAAATTCCTGATAAAATATATTGAATTCTTTATCATTTTTTATTAGACTTTATTGAACAAATCGATAAATTATAATTAGTTAGAAGCAATTCTTAAAGAGATATAGATATAGAAAAATATGTAAAAAATTAGATCAAAATTGTTGGATTAAAATAAAAATTGTCAAATTAAAAAATATTAAATTTTTAAATTCTAAATCAGTTATCCAAATTGATTTAGAGGGCCAATATCATGTCCACTACGATTGTATTTTCAGCTGCCTTATCAGTCGATAACAAACATTGTAAATCGTAATATTTGTACCAAGATTCTGAGCTTACCATTTCATTCGTGTAACTAGTAGACTTTCTATTCATCGAAGGCATAATGCCATTGACAAGTTAACTTAGTAAGAATGACAGATTATTTTTTATCTCGAACAACGAAGTAACAGGAAGTTTAAAGAAAAATACGCCGACGCGAATCGAGGTTGTTTTCTTGTGGACGGAGCGTTTCCGTGGTTCCTCTCGTCGAAAGCCGACGTTATTGTCCTTAATTGCATCGCGAATCAAATGATCCGTATTACGTTTTTAGCGAACTGTTTCATACAAATTAGCATATCACTGCCATTTATATAACTAATATAACTTCTATAAATACTAAATAGATGGTGGACGAACAACCGAGTATAACTCTAATAACTTACAATTAAATATTAATAGATTACATATACATATATATGGCCGGAATAACTCAGTCAATATTTTGTATCTCGCTGATCTTTCTTTAACTTTCCATAATATTTCTCTCTGATTATTCTAAATGTTGAATAGAGGGTGTACGTGTCTAATAACAAATTATGGTTAAAAATTTTGACGTTCAATAATTCTGTCTCAATTCAATCTATAATTCTGTTTCAATTTCATCCTCGATTTTATCTTTCTTGAACGCCAGAACGTCGAGCTATTTTCTAAG